AGGGGGCAGGCCCGGGAGGAGGGCAGGCCGGGGAGGAGGGCAGGCCACAAGGAGCGCCCTCGGAGGACCCCCCGGGTGAGCAGGCCAAGCCAGTTAGAGAGCGTAGCGCAGAGAGAGCCCAGTGAGGCTGCTGAGGCGGGGCCTGGTCAGCTGCCGGGAGGAACTGGGTTTTCTGTGATGTGAGACAGGAAACCATTGGAGAGTATTAGGCAGGAAAATAGCATGACTGGCTTTGTGTTTTTTAAAATCTGGCTGGTTTGCACAGAATAGGCTAGTAAAAGGCAAAAATTGAAGAGACAAATTAGGAGGCAAAAGACGGTGGTGGCTTAGCCTAGGGTAGTGGCTGTGGCCACAAAGACACGTGATTGGACTCTGGATACATCTTAGAAGTCAATTTGACAGAATGACATGAGGGACTTGGTGTGGAGGTGACAGGGACTTAGTAGATGATAGGGCCACTTACTGAGCTGGGGAAGGCCATGTGGTACTGGCTAGAGCAGCAATAAGAAATTAACACAAAGACCAGGAGACAACTAAGTGGAGATTTCAGAAAGGCATTGCTCAGAACCATGACACAAGTGTGTATCTGAGCTTCCTAGCAGCCAATGCAAAAAGGGGAACTGCAACCTGGCATATATTACTGTGTTCCTAAAATAAAAACTAGCCGTTTACCTGCAAGAAGCTCCTATGAATCTTTATAATGAAAACACTGCAATACAGTGAACGTTTCCCCAAACAGTCCATAAATACCAGTAGGATGAGAAGCCCTGCCTCCAAAGAGTTAACAGTCTAGGAGATGAAAAAGACACATGCCCAGAGAATTCCAATACACAGACGTGCCAAGTGTTCTGGAGAAACGAAGGAAATGCCATTTTTTCTTAGTTATATCCGAAACAGTGTGCCCCTGAAAACTCCGTTAGCACATGGGTCCCTCCCACCAGCGAGCCCAGGACAGAGTGGCTGCAGGAGAACAGCACACAGAGGCTCTGGGCAGACCCCTGCAATAAAGTGGTTCACACCCACATGACCTTGAGTCTGTCCTGTCTAGAATAAGACTCCACTTCCCAGGCTCTGAGGTCGTATGATATGGGCTATTATAGATTGAACCATATGAATTAATGATAGTCAACCTTTGTTTTCCCTAAAAAAAACACACAGAAATTTCATACAGTTCAATCTAATTGTTGGGTTTGAAACAAATATAAAATGCTTTGGCCCGGCCGGGCGTGGCTCAGCGGTTGAGCGTCGACCTAGGTAAGAGACTTGGTTCCTCAGGGAGACGGCCTGTGGCCAGTGGCCGCCAGCCCCAGTCAAGCGGGGAAAGCCAGCCTTTGCCATGCCCTGCCCTGCTCACAGGCATCCCGCCGCCGTATCCGTGTCTCGGCCTTCAATGTGACCACACAGTCAGGGACCGCCCAACACAGAAGTCAAACCAAAGCAAAAAAATACATTAAAAAAGAAATTCTGAGGAAACAGAGATTATGCAGGGAGCAGAAAATAACAAGAGGAAACCATAACTATTAACTTAAACATAGTCCTTTCCAACCTCGACGAGGCTGTGGGCAGGACTCTGTCCCGGTGACAGGACTGAGGCCTCCGGCTCCCGTGGGCCTCCACCCTCCATCAGTTCAGAACCTGGCTGTTTGCTCTCTTCCGCCAGACCAGCGGGAGGGCATCTTTTTCTTCCTTCAAGGGTTCACCTGATTAGGTGAGACCCACCTAAGATGATCTCCCTTTTATTAACTCAGTCAACTGATTAGGAACCCTAACTACATCTGAAAAATCCTTTTTGCCATAACCACAGGAATGATATCGTATCACATTCGGAGGTCCTGCCAGCCTCCCAGAAGGGGATTCCACAGGACTTCTCTGCCAGGGGACAGAACCTTGGGAGCCATCTTCAAATTCTGCCCACCAGAGTCCATGAAAAACAAGCAAGAAAACAGATTTTTTAAAAATGGAGGCAACTATGAACTACAAGGGATAAAAGGAGTTGTCCAAGAAAGGAAATATAACCACAGTATACTAGACCTCAACTAGAAACACAATTATAAAAATATAAATGTTGATTTAACAAAAACTCATGCTATTAGGATGATGAAAGGGAAGCTTGCATTGCAGGGGAAGGGGTGCTAAATTCCCACCTCCTATGGGAGGAAGACAGTAAATTATGCCCAACATGAAAAATCAACTGATAGCAGCACATGTACAATATCCAGCAGCCGGGAGAGAACTGGTGAGGTAATGGCATAAAGAGAGGGCAGTGGCGGCCCTGGCCGGGTGGCTCAGTTGGTTGGAGCAGCATCCCAGGCACCAAAAGGCCGTGGGTTCAATTCCCGGTCAGGGCGCATACCCAGGTTGGGAGTTCAATCCATGGTCGGGCCACCTGTGGGAGGCAGCTGATTGATGTTTCTCCCTCTCTCTCTTCCTCTCTCTAAAAAAAAAATCAATAAAATTTTTAAAATTTTTTTAAAAAGAGAAGACACTAACTGCCTCTCGGGAGGGGGAGAGATGAATACTATGTTTTTTTCCCCCTATAAGTTTTTAACCATATGAGTAAATGAAGCACTAATAAGATTTATTGACTTATAATCTAATATTTAATTTAACAATATATAACAATAACTTTCCCATGTTATCAAATAATGCTCCACATTATTACTTTACTATTTATAAATTACTCCATCTTATGAATGGGTCATGTTTCACTTACCCAATCTACCATTCCTACATATTTACTATTTCTCTGTATTTTATAGTTTTAACAATTAGATAAAAATTCTGTACAATAAATATTTGGGAAAAGCCATGATTGTTTTCTTGCATTGTTTTTAGAAGTAGTGCTAGCTGACAAGCACACAACATGCTAAGCAGTTTATATGCATGATCTCAATCCTTATCAGAATCCTATAAGGGTAAGTGTCATGATTCTATCATCTTTTTAGGTGAGAAAGTTGAAGCTCAGAAGTTGGTTAAGTAACTAGTCTGTGGGCATCAAGCCACTAAGGAGGCCACAAATAACGCTGCGTCCTGGGCAATTACCTTCATTGCTCTACTTGCTTCATGTGCCACGAGGAGCCGAAATCTCTGAGTTCTCCCAAACATCCTAGGGTTTTACAAATAGGACTGGTGACCACAAGGATGGGTGTGCCTCCCTGGCACCAATTCCCACAATATGGAGTGCCCACCCTGGGCTGGCACGCCTGAGCCCAGGAGGGAGAAAACTGACAAGGGACACCTTTGCGGAGCAGGGGACACCTGAGCTCTCAAGGGGGGAGTCTGCCTT